AAGTGATGTTACCATGCGAATGTTGGCGACGAGAAAAGAATTAGGAGAAAATATGACCCACGTGGCTCGGACTGTGCTCAACAAAGCTATTCGCTACAGAGTAAAAAACGATTACCGTGAATACGCTGCACGTAGAGCAAGAGAAGCAGCTGAGAAAGCAACAAGCATCAAAAGAACATTTGTAAGCACTCGCCTGAAGACTATGATCCCTGAATATCTGACGAAAGCGGATGGTACTGTCATACGGAATCGCAAAGATATAGAAGAGGAGATTCAAATATTCTTCCAAAACTTGTTTTCCACTAAGGTGCACGTAGAACCGTATCGACGTCATTCGAAAGTGATAACGACGCATCTAACAAGGAAGAATGGAGAGTTCTTGAATCAGAGGTAGCACAAGCTATCCGACAAACGAAAAGTGGAAGGGCACCCGGACCAGACCAAATCCGACCGGAGCACTTGAAATGCCTGCAAGAATTTCTCACGAAACCATTAGCCGACTTATTCACAGAAATACTTGCATCAAGTACTTGTATCAAGTACTTGAAATACTTGTATCTTGTATGTATGAAATAATTGTATGTATCCGACTCGTCCTCGCCTTCTCCAATTGCGCAAGTCGACTTTGAACCATTCATTCCGGTCCTGAGCATGTCTTCTCCATTGTTGGCCAAGCATTTTCACCATCGGATCGGCCCATCTCGTTTTGGGCCTTCTTGGCGATCGCTTGTGGTCCAACGGGATCCAATTCATAAGCCTGAAAGTCCATCTGTCATCTTTAAGACGTGCTACGTGACCGGCCCAATCTCGTTTACGATTATACATTTCCTGGACAACATCAACAAGGCCACTTCTTCTTCGCAACTCTGTGTTTGTGATATGTTCACGAAGTGACACTTTGCAAATTCTGCGTTCCATTGACCTTTGCATCACAGCAAATTTCTCTTCGTCTGCTTTAGTGGGCGACCAGCATTCCGCGCCGTACAGCAACGCAGGTATCACCGTTGAGTGAAACAAAGATGCCTTCAGTTTCATCGGGAGGTTATCGTCCAGCAATACCCTTGAGATTTTGTTGAAGCTGGACCATGCTGCTTTCCTGCGTTTACTGTATTCCTCTCTAGTGCCTTCAGTGAAGCTGAGCTGGTGTCCTAGGTATTTATAGCTTTCCACTTCTTCAATCGTTTCACCGTCTACATTGATCGCCTCTGTATTACTGAACTGATTGTGCATCCACTTGGTTTTTAACAAGTTCATTTCAAGCCCAATTTCATTTGATTTCTTCTGCAGCAGCACAAGTTTCTGTTGGAGCTCAAAAGCATTATGTGCAAAAATAACGCAATCATCGGCAAACAGCAGATGAGTCAGCCGTTCTCCATCGATGCCATCCGTCCAATCAAGATCACTGAACAAGGCTTCCAGAGTTAGTGCAAACAATTTCGGCGAGATCGTATCACCTTGTCGAACGCCCTTGCAGATTTTTATTTGGCATGGATCGTTGAAGAGCTTTATTTCTGTAGAGCAACCGTTGTTCAGCTCTTCCAAGAGGTCGACATAGGACGAACTAATACCATATCTGCTCATAGCAT